AGGTTCCCCGGGAAGGAAGACAGGGTGGGCAGATGCAAGGTGGCCGTGTGCTCTCCCCTGTGCCGGGGAGGGGCTGCTCTGCCCACAGTGTCTCCACCTGCTGCAGGGAATGCCCCTCATCTCCTGCCCCCGAGCTGGGTTTGCACTCTGGGGCTTGTGTCCCAGGCTCCTTTACATCTCCACACAGATTTCACATACTAGATGTGTGCATGAAGAAGTCACCTCAAATCATGTACACTGTGGAAACCTCAGTTCCCTGAGGGTCGCCACAGCCACTCTACAAGTGTAGACATGTACTCCCCTTCACTGTCCCTGGCTTGTTAAGTTACCCCCTCCCATTTCCTGTCCACCTGTCAGGCAGGGGGCGGGAGTGGGGAGGCACAGAAGGGAGGTGTCAGTGTCCCTGGAACCACAGACAGACACATTCCTTGCCTGGGACACATCACAGAAGCTGCCTCCTTCCAGGAACTTGAGCCGCCTGTCCTCACGCCTTGCCCAGTGCCTGAAGGTGGGACAGCTGGGCTAAATGCTCACAGCGGCAGAAAGCACAGTTAGACAACAGAAAGAACTTCCTTAAATGTAGTCATGTGCGTAAGTAATACCTTTCTGAGATTAATTTCAGTTCTAGTTTTCTGTGTGGCTTCATACAAAACAGCATCCTTCTCTGTATCTCCTCATTCCAAACTAAAGGCAGCCACTGATCGTGTCGTGCCTTTCTTAAGGTGGTTGGCACACTTGAGGGAGGGGCCAGGAGCTGGGGGGAGCACACCAATGGAACAGCCACTTCCTTCCAACAGACACTTAGTACACACTAATATTCACATTCGGTCATGCATTGACAGGACCAAGAGTTACATAGACACCTTATGTTACTAGTCACTCCATATCAGAGACATGTGTCTCACACACTGATAGATGCAGATATGTACACACGTGGATATGCTCGTGCCTAGCCAGTTTGTACTCCTGTGTGGCTACCAGACCTATTCTTCTACCAGTCGACAGATGAGAAGCCCAGGGGGAGGGGTCTCCTCTCCAAAAACTGCACAGGTCACCCTGGCAGGTATAGGACCACTGGAATCCTTTCAGTGTTTACAGTATTTCCTTGGAAGTGGACGCATTTGTGACAGCAGACATGGTCAGGGACAATTCCCTAAGACATCACCTCTGTGCTGTGATTGATGAGCTGGGAAGCAGAGTCTCCCTCCCTCACACCCCCCCACCGCCTCTCCTCCCTCCACCCCCCAGTTCCTGACTCCATTGTCCACCTGTGTGTG